GTCTCCGGATGTGTGGCTTAAATTTTTATCAACGTCTTCGGATGTGCGGCTGCACCTTTTTACTAGTGTTTGAGGATGTGCGACTGCAATTTTTTACCAGCGCTCATGGTTGTGTGGTTATATATTATTACCAGCGCTTTCGGAGGTGCAGTTGCACTTTTTATCGACGCTTGTGAATGTGCGGCTTTAATTTTGACCGACACTTGCGAATGTGTAGTTTCAGTTTTTACCAGTGCTTGAGAATGTGCAGCTTTAGTTTTTACCGGCGCCTGCGAATGTGCGGCAGTAGCTTTTTACCAGCGCTCTGATACTATGAAGTTTTTAGAGAAAATAAATTTCTAATTTTTTTATTCCTTGTTTTGTTTACATTTAGAAGATATATATAGATTAGTTATTATTAGAACTGTAAGTAATATAGTATTCTACTTAACATAAAATTCTTATCAACAGTTATCTTTCTGTTTTGACTTATCAGACAAACCTATTGCTGTTGGAAAGGAATGAGAACTTGCACTAAACACCCTATATCTAACTTTGTTTCCTATGACTCTCTATCTTCCTCCTATAGATTTTTTGTCTTATTTGTTTCCTCTATTTCTATTCCATAGGGTTGGAGAGAAGTTTTAGGAAATCCCAAGTGGAAGAAAGCCATGATTGAAGAAATGAGAGTATTGACAAAGAATGAAACATGAGAATTTGTTCACCTCCACAGAGAAAAAAGATATTTGGTTGCAAATGGCTGTTCAACGTAAAACACAAAGCAGACGGATCGATCAAAGGGTATAAAGCTATATTGATGGTTAAAAGATTTACTCAAATATATGGGATTGACTATCAGGAGACATTTGTACTTGTTGTAAAGATGAATACAATTAAAATACTTTTGTCTTGCGCAGCTAATCTTAATAGGGATCTACAACAATTTGATGTAAAAAATACATTTTTTCATAGAGACTTAGAGGAAGAGGTGTACATAAAAATTGCACATGAATTTAAAGATGAGAGGACGCAAGAAAAAGTTTACGAATTAAAAAAGACCTTATATGGATTGAAATAGTCTCCAAGAGTATGGTTTGAACGATTTAGAAGAATTATGATCTCTTTTGGATATCAACAAAACAATGCGGATCATACCTTATTTGTCAAATATCGTGAGGTAAAGGTCACTTTTCTCATTGTTTATATGGATGATATTGTGGTAACTGGAGATGACACAAAAGAGATGGCTCGGTTGAAGGAATTTCTTACTCAAGAGTTTGAAATAAAAGATTTAAGAAAATTGCAATACTTTTTGGGGATTGAAGTTGTTAGATCTAATAAAAGGATCTTCATTTCTCAAAAAAATTATATCCTAAACTTATTAGAAGAGACTGATATGATGGATTGCAAGCCGGCAGAATCACCTATTGAGAGTAATCACAAATTGCAAGCAGGTACTGTACATCAGTTGACTTAGGAAGATACCAGAGACTAGTTGGAAAACTCATTTATCTTTCACATACCAGACCTGATATAACATATGCAGTTAGTCTTGTGAGCCAGTATATGCATGATTCTCGTGAGATTCATTTACATGTTGTTTTCTGCATATTACGATACCTGAAGTCTACATCAGGAAAAAATCTGCTCTTTTCGAAAAATGGTTACCTTAAAATAGAAATATTTACAGATGTCGATTGGGGTGAATATCTAGATGATAAAAGATCAATTACAGGTTACTGCACACTTGTAGGAGACAACTTAGTTACATGGAAAAGTAAGAAACAAAATGTGGTTGTCCGCTTTAGTGCTGAAGCAGAATATAGAGTAATGGTCAAAGAAGTATGTGAATTTTATGGTTGCAAAAGCTAATGAGGATGTTAAAACTGCTTAAAGACGAGAAACTATCATTGATTTGTAACAATAAAGCAGCAATTAACATTATTCATAATTCAGTTTAACATAACAGAATAAAACACATTGAAATTGATCGACACTTCATAAAAAAGAAGGTGGTTGGTGGCTCTCCATGCTTATATCATGTATCTTCTAACGACCAGGTGGCTGACATTTTCACTAAAGAACTATGCAACAATTCTATTCAGAACCTGATTTGCAAGTTAGGTATGTGTGATATCTTTGCGCCAATTTGAAGGGGAGTGTTGATAAAGAATTATGCTAACTAGAATACTATATTAGTTAGAGTTCTAATAGTATAATTATATTTCATAATTAGAGTTCAACTAGAATAAAAATAATTATTTATTCACTCTATATATATTTTCTAAATATAAACATAAGAAATAAAAAATAAAATTAAAAATTTATTTTCTTCAAAAACTTCAGAAATAGAGAGGGAAATCTGGGATATAATTTCTATTCTTTTCCTTGATTGATAATATGCATAAGGAGTGAGCCTTTTTTATAGGCTACAAAGCAATAAAGGGACCACAATCACGACCGAAATCAATAGTCATTCATGATGTAGCAGCCGCTGCTCTGGAAATACATTCAAGATGCTGATCCTAACCCTAATCCTAACACGCAAGACTAGTTTACTCTTTTCTTATTTTTTTTTTACTCTTAATGTCCTGACAATACCTTTCTTTTGAGTATCAACCTTGTCTCCAAAGTTAAAATATTATTTATTTTATTATTATTATTATATTATATATATAGATATATATATATTTTAAAACAGTTCTTTTTTTTTCTTTTTTTTTTTTTAAGATTATATATATTTTAAGGCACTTATATATATATATGTTAATTATTATATATATATGTTTTTTTTTTAAAGCAGTTTTCTACTGCTTCCTCCCCATATTATGTATATTTTAAAGCAGCTTTCTACTGCTTCCACCCCCATGAAATCAAATTTTCACGGATTGACTCTTCCAAACCACGATGCAGCCGATGCCGGCCATTCTAATCGTGTCGCTGCAGTAACGTCTTTTTCTTCCACCTCTTCTTCTTTCGTTTCTCCTTCTTCCGCATCTCCTTCTTTTGCTTCTCTTTTTCCATATCAGAACACATCTGGAGAACGAGAAACCTCTAGGTTCCAATCTTGACCTTGCAAGGATTAGAGCAAAACCTGAGCAGAGCTTCTGGGAGATAACTCTTTCTGGCTGGTTGACCGAGGGGGACAAGGGAGAGATCTCTAGGATTTTCATTCCTGATTGCTATTGCTTGAGAAAGAAAGAAAAGTGGAGCAGGTGAACCGGTTCGGTTTAAAATGCTGGCTGGACCGGTTTTAATAAGATAAGTTAGGGAACTTGATTCGGTCTGTGTTGCTTGGGCCAGTTCAATAACTGAACCGGTTTTTAGGGTTCATTTTTTTATCTGACCCAAATTTTTTCTTCATCTTCATCACGCGGAAGAGGGGTTGGGCTGGCCGTTAGGTGTGGCCCCTTGAGCCGTCGGTCTTGCACCTTCTAGGGTATAACCGTCTTTTGGTTGAGGCAGAAGGCCTTCGCCTTCTTGAGTCCCGTCCGCTAGGCTTGCCAAGCTTTCTTCGGTCTAGTCGGTGGATTTGCCATGGAGCAGATTCAAGATCAAGCTGAATTGCCAGTGCGTTTCATCCATGAACAGAGAGTTTCATGTTGACCTCCTTCACGGTGATTGTCTTGGCATTTTCTGTCTCTGATACTACCTTACCGGAAGTCTTAGACATGGCTGTCTAATCTTAAGAAAGATAGAAAGAAAAAAGAGAAAAATAGAAAGGAGGAGAAGAGAAACAGATAGGGAAATCTAGGATATAATTCTTATTCTTTCCCTTAATTGATTATAATAAAAAAGAGTGAACCATTTTTATAGGCCACAAAGTAATAAAGAGACGGCAATCACGACCAAAATCAATAGCCATTCATGATGCAGTGGCTGCTGCACTGGAAATACATTCAAGATACTGACCCTAACCCTAACCCTAACCCTAACCCTAACACGTAAGACTAGTTTACACTTTTCTTATTTTCCTTTTTACCAATAATATTCTAACGCTCACAATCTAATAGAACATGACAGAAGCAAGCACATTGAAGCGGACAAACACTTCATCAAGGAAAAACTAAATAGTAGACTAATATGTACACCCTATGTGTCTACCAGTTTGCAATTTGCCAATATATTGTCTAAGAGATTGAGCGAGGTAGGATTTCAGACAATTATTGCTAAGTTGGGAGTGATTAATATCTATCTACCATCTTGAGGGGGAATCTTAGGAAATGTATATTAAGTAAAGTTGTATATTAAGTAGATGTGTATATTAAGGTAAATGGTATATTATAAATACCCCTCATTTCTATGTAGTTGTATTTTACTTTACTGCTCATATGGAATTGTGTATAGGGTCCTAGTATTCAATAAGAAACATAACATAACAACTAAATTCATGTTCTTCATGGCAATGGAAAGAACAGGTAAAGGGTATATTACAAGTACGTCTCAATTCTAAGTAGTTGTATTTTACTTTAATGCTCATACAGAATTGTTTATAGGGCCCTAGTATTCAATAAGAAACATAACATAACAATCAACTTCATGTTCTCTTCATGGCAATGGAAAGAACAGTTAAAAAATAGTTGAAACATTTGGTCTGGCTTTTGAACTGTGTTGCAAGTTAGTTACTGAGGAGTGAATATTAGTGCTGTGGACAACTTTGGTAAATTTTAGCAATTATCTATATAAAGACGTGTCTTTTGTATGTTTGATGGAGTTCCTTGTAAGTAATTAATTTTGTACAAGTGACAGTCCCTTGGTGCATTGTGAATAAAAGTTTTTCTCATCATTAACCATTATAGTCAACTTTGGCTTCTTGTCAAGGACGTTTGTTTAGTTATTTGTTAAATGCTTCTCAAGCTCTCAAATCTACTGCATTTGCATTATATTTTCTGGATGTATGTGTGAATAAGAAATATTTGTTTATCATTGAATTGTATTTGGACTATGTTCTCCTTAAAGCCTTTAAAAATCTCTGTGGCTGAAGTACATAAATGCTTATATAGCTGAACTTTTGTCTCAAGGGAAATCATTGAATGACAAATCCAAAAGTTTTGCTCAGAAGGACAACTTTGATGGAAGTAGAAAAGACATAAATGCTGCTATTGATCGGATTTGTGAGTTTACAGGTAAGAAATATTATTGCTATGACTTGAAAAAATTCAGAATTTGTCTAAAATTCATTTGTGAATCTACACATATTTTAACTTTAAAATGATAAGATTTGTACCTAAAATCATAAAAATTAAGTTTATATGGAATTGAAACAATAGATTCCAAATTCCATTAACTTAGACAGAATTTGGAATATACTGTTTTAAGTCCAAATAGAATTCATATAACTCAATATCTCGTCATTATACAATTTTGTACTGCAACAAAGTGTGGAATGAATTCAATTTCATTTTTGGATTTGATCTAAAAATTGCCCAAGTATTTTCAAAATTTTTTTAGAAGAAAAATTGGAAAGCATTTCATGCTTGTTTCTTGAGAGATTAAATTAACTAAGGATTTGGTACTCTTTTTCGTGCTGCAGGAACTAAAATCGTTTTCTGGGATTTAAGGGAGCCATTTATTGATAACTTATATAAGCCCAGTGTTTCCCAATCAAGACTGGAAGCAATAATTGAACCACTTGACACAGTAAGCTTTATCCTCAGCTGAAGCTATGTTTTATTTTTGTCTTGCATTTTTACCAATCTATATGAAATTACTAGGAATTTGGATTTAATAGTTTACTAATGGACATTCACAAAGAAAGAAAATATAAATTTAAATTTCAAGCTTTACATTTTTCCTAGTAAGTATAAAAACTCATTTTAAAGCGTTTGGTTGGTGTACCCCAGATATGTACCAGAGAAATTCTGTAAAATAAAAAATTCTTGTTGATAAATGTCATCTTTTACATTGTTGGAATAATTGTCGAACCAGTCATCCATACTGATTTCTTTTTCTCCCAATAGATAAAGCACTAAGTTCATATAGTTATAGGTTTGAAGATTGTTAAGGGTACATGTTATATTGTTACAATATATTTGTGCTAGTAATTTAAGTGCCCATAATCTGATCTTAGGTGTGCTCTAGATTTGCTAATTATGCAATCCAAAACCTTTTCACAGACAGAAGCAATTACAGTGAATTATTTTTACTTCATCTTTTCTCTTCGGCAGATGAAAATTAGATAGAAGATTGCTGAACCTGATTCACCATTTGGCCATGTAGGCAAAATTTTTTTTCATTGTTCAGATGCAAATGTAATACCACATCAATGGCAAACTTTTTTCTTTACAAAAATAGAAAATTTATTAGAGAGAGAGAGAGAGCTAAACAAAAGAGATTGATAGGATATGGAATCCAACCATAAAACTAGAAAGATATAACAATGATGTTGAGACAAACAGGAAGCCAATCCCTTAAAGTAGATAATGCCATCTCCTATAACAACCGATGGATATTTGGCCAAAGAGAGCAAAGAAGAAAGAAGATCTCTGTTTTGGTGATGAAAGAAAAGTTACCTTATTGCAAACCATGTATGAGGTAGTTGAATTATTTCTTGAAACTTCTATTCAACATGTCGTGGGTGTTAGCGAATGCAGTAGACAATAGATGTTTTTCTGCAGCCAAGAGAACAACTAAAGCACCAGAGCATCAAGACAGCTTCATAGAAACTTGAGGCGCGCCTGAGACACATGGCCTAGTCAGCTTTCACCATGGGCTCATGCCACCACATTACTAGCTTATTCCCTTTAAGTAGGTATATGATGCAGGATTATGGGTTACCCATATAGCATTCAATGAAGTAAGGGAGCACAATCAAGTGGAACCTACCAGTACATATAGTGGAGTCACATGCCACACAGACAATGAGCAGCCAACATACCAAACGAATTGCAAATGGAAAAGCATTAACTCAATCAGTGTGCAAGCTTCACCGGGCACACTCCATCTATGCCTCTAAGCGCAATGGAATTGAGAAAGAGAGGGGCATCATACCATGCCAAGGAATGGTGACTGTTCTTGTGTGGTCCGCACAGACTAGCAGTGACTTTGCCATGCATGGGGATCAGACTTCCAATGTCATACCCGAGCCACAATTGCCTTAGACAGGGGAGCATCACAGCATACTCGGATTTGCCTTCCACTCTGCATTGGCTGCAACACGCCCAAGCATGGGGATCTATCCCCTACGCATGGACTGAAGCACCGCTAACTATGCCATCATTGCATGTGTTCTGTAGCTATTGGCTCATCCTATGGCCATTTGTGTAAATATGATCATTGTTTGAGTAAACCACATCCTAGCTTTCTGACCATGGGTTGCCAGAAAACTATTGTTGCGGCAGGTTGAACAACTGGTCCATCACCACTGGTGATAGTGAGCCCCAACGAGGCTCTTACTCAATGCTTCTGGAAGCAGGGAGATTTCCATCCCTTAAAAAGTCTTATTCGCAAAATGAAGATGTGCACAAGGAGACATACCTTATATCTTAGTGGATGAATGAGTCATAGAGAATTCATTGTATGAATTCAATGTATTTTTTGTGGGCATCTAAAAATGGTGATATTTTTAATCGAAGAAAAAAATTTACCATTGATTAAATAATAAAAAAGTTGAAAAATAATATGAGATCATAAAACCTTTGACAAAGGCACATCATATGTTCCACAATAAACATGAAGATGGTTCTCATGCAGTATGTTGAGAGAGTGAAGTAACAATGGGACTTGACATTTTCATCAAGTCATTTTGATAAATTTTGATTAAGAAAAGCCAAAAGACCTCATTAACCAATTGAACATCTAGTTACTAGGGGTGTCTGGAAAAAGGGGTGAGGGTGATGTTATCACCTAAGAGATGCATTGATGAAAAAGCACGTGGTATCAAAAATGAGGAAAGTAGCAGACAAGGTTCATTTAGGTGGTTCAAGGAAGGAAAGGGGGATCATCAAATTCTACATGAGAGTAATAAGTTTGAAGAGACTAAAAGACTTGGGAATAGGATAAAGAGGAAACAACTGACAGAGATTATTTCTAGGGCAAATCCATATGTGTTCTATTACAAGAGATGAAAAAAAGGAGATCAACAATTTCTTAATCTATATTACGTAAGAGAGTCAGTGTAAAGAATTGTTGTCCTTTTGTCAGTTAGGTGGACTTTTAATCAAATGGGATACGAGGTTTGCTACTAATTTCGACACTGTAGAGGGGCATTTTCTTTATCTGTTTTACTTGGTGAGAGACGAAAAGGGTGTTGGTGCATCGTGAGTAAGTATTGACGAACAAGATATAGACTTAGATCCTTATTTTTGGGAGGAAATTTCCTACTCGTCAAGTTTGTGCATTCTTTTTTGGTGTGTAAGGGATGATTTTAGCTCATGTAGGTTTCCTCAAGGAAAATAGGAGGAAGATAAAATGACGACATCTATGTGAGGATACAATGAGCTTGTAGAGGACTACGAGTTAATAGACCTCCCATTAGCAAATGTCCAATTCACATGCTCAGTGGACAGACAAGGAGCCGTTTTGTAAGCACTGTCTTTCCCTAACAAATTGATTTGGGAAATCAAGGTACCCCTAAGTGTTTCTTTTTTTGCTTGGGAAGCTTGCAGAGAGTGCATTTTAACCATTGATAAGTTTAAAAGAAGGGGTTTAATTTTGGTTAATATTTGCTACCCGTGCAATCAGGCAGAGGAAAACTGTAGACATCTTCTGTTACAGTATCCTGCTGTCTACGAATTATGGTGCATGGTCTACTCCCGTTTGGGTATCAGCTGGGTTTGATTGGGTTATATTAAAGACGAGATTTGGGCTTGGAAGCACCTCAGTGTTTATTGTATCCTTGTCGATTTAATCCCCATTACGCTCAAGCGGTCAGTGTGGAAGGTTAGAAATTGTAATGCGTTTGAGGGACTTGGTGACACTATGGGTTTTGATATACTGAAAAATAGATAACTTAGTACCCTTGATTTTTTGCTTACGGGTCATCCTCCGGTATTTTTTGAGTCTTTCAGGAAGATCTTTGTTACAGAGGAGTAAACTGTAAATAACTTGTACATGTTTTTTCTTTGCACTTCTGGTCCTTATAGCAATACAATCTTACTATTTTTCATTTTTTTTAAAAAAAGGAGTTGTTTCGTCATGCTTAGACCAGCTTTATTCTCTACACACTGAGAAGATACTTCTCCTAATTTGATAAGGAACTTCTCGCATGTCTTGTATCATATCACTTTCCCATCTTACTTGAATCTCAACATATCAAATGAGCTACCCCTTTTGGGTTTAGAAACATTTGGGTCCATCATTTGGAGTTTGTGACAAGTGAGGGAGTGGTGGCAAGAAGGTGAGATCATAGATTGGGAGGGAGAAAAGTGTACATTAGAAACTGAAGTTCTTGAAGGAGAAATTGAAAATGTAAGGAGATGCTCAGGAATGTTGAACTAAGGAAAGCAGGGTCTTAAGGAAATGGAGTAGATAGATTGTAGAGAGTAACATTTTGCGAGCCTAGAAGACCGACTAGTTGATTTAAAAAATGAGCTTAAAGAAATAATGTTGAGCCAAAAGAGAAGTTGGAGAAAAAAGGAAAAAAATCAAATTGTGAAGGAAGGGAACGCAATATATGCCTATACCATAGAGTGGCTAATGGTTGTAGAAGAAAGAACGAGATCAAGGAGTTGGGCTTGAAAACAGGGAAGTGGAAAGGAGTGGTGAGGCAATAATTCGGGAGATTACCCCAATTTTACAGGAGTTGTATACCAAAGAAATTGCATATAGGTCGTTCCTAAATTGGGCATCTATTAGGAGAGGTAATGCCAAGTGGTTGTCGAGACCGTTTAAGGAGTAGGAAATAAGGTGGGCAATATGGGACTTAGGCAATGACAAAGCACTCGACCATATGGCTTTTCCATAAAGTTTTTCTAGAGGTTCTAGGGTATTATTAAATGGATTTAGTGAAAGTGTTTGAGGAGTTTTATCTGAATGCCACCACATGCAAAAGCATGAACTCAATTTTCATTGCCTTAATTCCTAAAAAGAACAACTCTATAGAAGTATCAGACTATTGCCCAATCAAGTTAGTGACAAGTATGTATGAAATTGTTATTAAAGTTCTTTCTTTGAGAATTAGTGAGGTATTGGATTATATAATTTGACTAAATCAAAGTGCCTTTATATGAGTAGGCAAATACCGGATACTTCTCTAGTAGCTAATGAGTTAGCTGAATATACTCGAAGGGCTAAGGAAAATAGCTAATGAGTTAGTTGAATATACTCGACGGGCTAAGGAAAAAGGTTTAGTGCTTGAGCTAGACTTCTGGAAAGCATATGATCGGATTAACTGATGGTCTTATCTTTTCTTTGGTGATTGCAAACAAAAAAACCCAGGAGTGGTTTCAGCTATCAGGAGATTTGATCTAGGGGAATCCACCTTCTCTGTTCTTTTTTTTTTATCATCTTGGTGATTGATGTGTTGAGTAGGATGTTGGCTAGAGGGACAAAGAGAGAGAGGATACATGTGTTCGAGGTAAGGAGGGATGAGAAGTTTATCATCTATAGTTTGCTAATGATATGATTTTGTTTTTACAAGATAATGATGTATCTAATGAGCTCACACTCATCAAGTGTTTGAGCATATCTCAAGATAAGGATCAACCTGACTAAGAGCGGGCTCATTGAGATTAATGTGGAGGACGAAATGGTGGAGCATATAGCAGAGTTAGATGCAGTAGACAAGTCTGACCCATCACATATTTAGGAGTTCCAGCTGGGGATAACTTGAAAAGTAGGTTTTTTGGGACAGGAGAACAAAGTGGCCAAGTCATTGGAGGATCGGGAAGGGAGTCTATTCTTATTAAGTGGTAGTGTCATTGTAATTCAAGATTGCCTTTCTAGCATATTACTATGTTTCTTATCTTGGTTAGGGTACCTGCTCGGATTGCAGAGAAAATAGAGGGACACATGAGAAGATTTCTATGGGTAGGGGTGGGGGAGGGAAGAGGGATCATCTACTGAGTTGGGAGGTGTATTGTCAGTCTAAGAATCTAGGAGGTTGGGCCTTAAGAATCTTAGATAAAAAAAGTTTATGGGGGTGGCAGGAATTGATCATATGCCATAATAGGACTCATACCAGTCCCTGGAAAGCCATCTCCCAAAATCATTCATTTTTCATTCCCTTAACATTGTTACCAGTGGGATATGTTGCTAGGGTAAGTTTGGAAAGATACCTGGGTAGGAATTAGCCGTTAGCCACCCACTTCCCCCGGTTATTCCATCTTTCATCTAGACACAATGTTTTTGTTCCTTATTTTACATCCACGTCAGAGGGAAAAGTAGCCTGGAACTTTTACTTCAGCCATAAAGTACTGATAGGGAGGCTTCTAACATTCAAATCTTATTGCCTCGGTTGAAGCCAGTTCATATCTCGTTTCAACCTGACACCACCTCACAAGAAACCCTATAGCCACTTCTCTAATGGCAAGTTACTTTAAAAAGCTCTAGTGCTATCAAAGGTAAAGGTGGTTACGGGGACAATCATTTTCCAAAAGCTCAACGTTGAAGTCATATTATGCTCAATCTCCAGACATTTCCATTATGTGGTTCAAAGGAGGGGAGATATATTCCAATTTATTCCTAAATGGTTGATTTGAATCTGAGGACCAAAATGGTTGATCCGTTTGGTCTTCAATGAGCTGCTTGTCCAACAGTGGAAAATTTTCTAAGTTTATGCATTCACAAGGAGAAGTGAGGAAGGGAGCGAAAGCCCTTTGGCAAGATGCAATCTTTCTTGGAAGGAACCCTAGGATTTTTTATGACCACTATTCATATTTTAGGAGCTGTGGGAAATGGTAATTCTTTTGGCCACCTTTGAGCCTAGGCGCATGGAGAATTACACCGACAGAGCCATCTCAGAGCTCCATTGAAATTGGGATGCAATCATTTTTACCCATGGGACATCTTCATTTTTGTATTGTTCTCTGCATTTATAATTCTTTTCTCTTTGATCCTAATAAAGTTTTTTTCCTATAAAAAAGCTATGATTTGATGACAGCCCTGTGATTATGGTTGTTGTCGCTTCCTGTAACTGATAATCAGATATATCTTTTCTTTTTTCTTTCTATACCCTATTTTGTTGTGCTACATAATGATGCTTCCCAGACCTCTCAACACCATGCAGATTTGTAGAGATTAAGATATCCCGGTGTAGGGACATAGCTAAACTTCCTCAAATAGAATTGATCATAGCACACCAACGTGATTTTATCCTAATTTTCTTCTTCAACTAATTTGCTCCTCTAAAAGAATGTCCTCAAACTCATTGCAGAGAATTCTCTTATTGATCCTCCGTAAGAGCATTCTTTGATTCCAACCTATTCAAAGGGCTGATGATTATAGAGGTCTTGTTTCCTGAATGTCTCCATACTTTTTATTATTTTAGTTTTCAGTTTTTCTTGATGAATTTGAGCCTCATGAATTATATCCTTCATGTTCAGATATAATTCTTTGTGGCACTTACGGATTTGAGAATTTTGGATCATTAATGGAAGCAAAAGTATAGTCTGGCCAATATTTTACCCTTACATTCACCACCTGAAAAGACCATCTTAAATCAATTTGATGGTCTAGGGCAGGACTTACAACTTAAGTATCTACATAAGACAATGTCAGACATTCTGCAGAGTGCCTCTACTGGATTTTGCTAGTCTTCCAATTTTATATCATTATTTTAATTGTAGTTGGTTAACTTGGACAGTGCATCAGCTTTCAGATTTCATATGACCGAAAATACAGCGAGCACCTCATAGACATAAATTAAAAATATTTTTGATTGATGCTGAGCTACAGTTTTTGGCATATTTAATGGCTGCAGGAATTAAATAAGCTGTGTGATGTAATCATGGAGCCACTTAGGGACCGCATAGTTACAAGTCTCCTTCAGGCATCACTGGTAGTTTCTTGATCTGCTTCTTTCTAACAATGCTTCGTGGCACTTTTCTTCATTCGTATTTTTCATTAGTATATTTTCTCTTTTTTTTTTTTCCAGGATGGCTTGCTTCGGGTACTATTAGATGGAGGGTCAGCCCGAGTTTTCTTTCCTACTGATGGAAAACTATTAGAAGAAGATCTGGAGGTCTTAAAGGTAAATATTTATTGAGAAACTTACGATTTTCAACCAATTCCTTAGTCCGAAGAAGGACACAGAGGAGTTGCTTTTAGTGCCACAATAAAGTTTTATTTTTTCTAGTTCAAGGATTCTTCATAAACATTTTTCAGAACAGCACTCTTTAATTGCTTACACTGTAAAATTATCGAAACAAGTTGTTTTAATCTGTCAATCTTAAGCACTACCTCAGATTTCTTTGATGAAAGAAACACTTACATGAATTTTACGTGCCTAGGAATTCTTTATTTCTGGAGGAGATGGGCTTCCACGAGGTATAGTTGAAAATCAAGTAGCACGGGTTCGGCACGTTGTCAGGTTACATGGACACGAGGTATGTGCTTTAATTTAAGTGATAATATTCAAGAAATTAAACCAAAATGGTAAAGATAGTCTCACGAGGAGTCGTTCACAAATTTGGTTTGTAGTTTCAGGCAATATAATTTTATTTTATTGAGGTTCTAACTTGCTAAAATGCATTTTAGATCCTTTGTTAAATGATGGCATGAATGCATCTGCATAGTTGAGTAAAGCTTTTATCTTGGATAGTTTTAGGTTTGTTTCATGTGGTTTTATTGCTTCTTTTAAGATTGTTTTGCAATTCGTAGAAGACTTTGGGACTATCTCTGAGTCTTTGGGCGGATTTGTCTTGGTGCATAAGTTCTTTTTATGAGGTTTTGACTGCCTCGATTATATTAAAGTTCTCGATGCGTTTTGTTTAAAGGTTGACGATGTGTATGTAACTTTCTCTTAATGTATCTCTTTGCAGACACGAGAGCTGGTTGAGGACTTGAAATCTGGAAGCAGCACTGACGCGCCGGGTAGTAGAGGTAAATTAGGTGCGGACAGCCAGACCATTATTAGAATATTGTGCCACAGAAGTGATTCTGAAGCCTCCCAATTTCTCAAGAAACAATACAGGATACCCAAGTCTTCTGCATAGGTTAAAACTCGGATTACTCGGATACTTTTTTCCGTTTAGAAGAATATTAATTTCCTTCTGGCAATTTGTTTTGTGAATATGATTTGTTCTGTCTTCGCTTCTCTTATTATTCATTTTACTTGATAGAACTTATTCGTTTCTTCACTCCTCTCTTCTCTTACTATTTATTTTTAACCAGAACTTGTATATATCTGCTTGCCGGTTTTCCTTTCGATTTTCTTTGTCGGAAATCAGTGCTTTCCACAAATAAGAATGTTCCTGTCTCCTCCGCAAAAATTATGCCAACCCGGATCACAAGCAACTTTGGATTAGGTCCGCTCTTGACGTATGGTATGTTAGAGGAAATAACTTGTTCCTTTTTCGTTTGCAG